ATTTCCCAGCAAGGTCCCAGCCTGCACCCCCAGGTCCTTGCAGCTTACTGCCTGCCTCCGCCTACTTAGCCAAGCCCACAGCTTGGCTTCTTTCACTCGGGGACTTGCTTTAAAAGATCACATTCCCTGAGCCGGGGGTTTGCTCGGCTGTAAGTTGCAGAAAACCTGCCTAATGCAGTGGTTTGTCTTCCACAGGAAGTCTGGAGGTGGCGGTTCAGGCTTGTTTCAGGAGACCAGAGATGCCTCCTGAGTGCCTGGTGCCTGAGTCCGGCCTGGCCCTGGTTATGGCAGGTGTTTGGTGGAGAAACCCAGTGGATGGAAGCCCTCTCTCTCTGTCTCTCTGCCTTTCAAATTAAAAAATAATAATAAATCATAAAAAAAGAGGGGGTGGGGAGTGGACAGGTAACAGGCAGTGTTTTCTTGAATTGTTTTCTTGTTCCCTGGAGGACTCAGGTGCTTGGGAATCACAGAGATGGAGTCCCCGGGCGTGGGAGGGCCCCGGGCGCCCTGCTGGCTCCTGCCTACCCATCTGCCTTAATCTCTTCTCACAGCAGTGAAAAGAGAATCTCACCTCCTAACCCCGGCAGCACAGGGAGCCGGTAGTGCCGGCAGTGAGCGGTGGCGGTGGAAATTAACACCTCCGAGGCAGGTCTCAGCCTCCCCTCCACCGCCACCTGGCCGCGGGTCCTGCTCACAGATGGGGCACCTTCTGGGGCAGCGTGAGGTTAGCTGCTGCTCTTCATACGTGTGGGATTGGACGCGGGCAGCGGTGAGCCGGCGCAGACCCCCTCGGAGGCCTAAGAGACGTCCCCACCCCGCACGCCCTCGGGACGCAGGGGTCGCAGGGGTCGCAGTCTGGGCCTCTGCCGCTTCCGCCGACAGAGGGGAGGCTGACCGAGCTGAGTTCAGCTGCCCTCGGGCGCCCGCTCGCATGGCTGCCTCAGTGCAGTCTGATGGCTTTGGGGCCTCAGGCTCACGGTGGGGCCCGGCTTCTCTTGGGTTTAGTTCCAAGGGCCCGGGCTGCTGTGGGCCCTGGGGAGACCGGCCTCAGCGGCTGCCTCTGGGGCTGCCCCCAGCCCTGCAGGTCCTCAGGGAGCTAACTTCCTTGCTTCTTGGGCATTTGACAAAGTCGCCAGCATCAGACTTCCCTAGCAGGTCGCAGCCGTCTGCCCTTGACCCCTCACCGTCTCGCAGACTGGAGGTAGCTCCGCACACAGCGCTGCCGGCTTCCCTCCCCTCCCTCGGGAACACACCTCCCTCCTCCCACAGCGGGCTGTCCTCACGCTGGCCTTGGGTTTTTGGGTCGCCCACTGGCTATTACACCTTCAAGGAAAGGGGGGACAGAGGCGGGTTCTTAGACAAAGGAGTGACTCACATAGGGCACCCGGGCTCTTGTCATTGGGCCACTGGGTCTCCACACTGACTCACTGCTCTGATCTGTGAAATGGGCCCGCTCAGCTATTGTCTTGGCTGTCAAAAGAAGAAGTAGGTCCAAACCCCGCAGGCTGTCAGGTGCTGTTCCACCTGCTGCCCCCACTGTAGCAAAGGCTCCCCTGCTGTAGTCCCAGCCCCAGTAACCAAACGCTCCCTCCCACAATTTCTTCCTGTCCCTGGGCCCAGGCCCTTTTGGCACAAGCACAGGGAATGTCAGGGCCCACAACGTTCATCTTCTTTCTCCCCAGGGGCAGAGCCAGAGCCGACCTCGGGGGAATGCAGTTTCCAGGGCCTGGGTAGTGACAGCGGAGAGCAGAGGGAGGGTCTGTGCTGTGAGAAGCCCTGGCAGATGGGGTAGTGGCTGCTCTCATGCGGTGCCGGCCGCATGCTGCTCCAGGGATGGGCATTGCTCCACATCTGCCAAGGTGAGAGGCCACGGCTGCCAGGCCGGCCCACGGCCTGGGGATTGAGTGTGTGGACGGCGGAGGGGGAGAAGGAAGGAGGCTGGCCTCCATCGAGGCCCAGAGGCTTGCATTTGGAGCCATTGCAGGAAACAGGGACTTGGGAGGGACTTGCAGCTGGGCAAGAAGACTCTGATCCCTCCACGGAGAGTTTAGGCAAGCGACAAGAGAAGCTATGCTCCATCTGCACAGAGGCAGGAGGCTGGACGAGATGACCCGGTGAGGAGGGGCTGCCCTTCCACCTGCACCAGGCGACTCAGCAGCGGGTTGTCCAGTCCAGCTCAGAGACCACAGCATGGACACAACAGCAAGTGGCACAAAGCACTTTCACGCGGGGTTCTTAGGGGGAGGCATCTCCCAAATCCGTTTGGAGACGAGGAATTGAAGGCGCTAGCAAGGTTAAGGATGGAACGTGCCGAGTGAGGCCGGGGAGCGGGGCGGGGATGGGAGGCTTGGAGGGAGGGTCCAGGTAAGGAGTCAACACACAGTGCCTGGAGCCAGACCTCTCTGTTTCTCCATCTGTCATTCAGGGGTCGTCTCCTCCAGCTCTCCCAGTGGGCAAAGGTGCTATCCAGGGAGGTGAGCTGCTCTCAGGAATGTGGAATCCAGTGGGCAGGGACGTGGGCTCAATGGCTGGGCTGCGCGGCTCTTCCCCGACTAGCCACATCACATGCCCCCTTGGCCAGCACCGTGGTGCAGCAGGTTAAGCCGCTGCTTGTGACGCTGGCATCACATATAGGAGTGTCAGTTCGAGTCCTGGCTGCTCTGCTTCTAATCCAGCTCCCTGCTAATGTGCCTGGGAAGGCAGCGAAAGATGGCCCCAGTGTTTGGGCCGCTGCACCCTTGTGGGAGGCCCAAATAGCATTCCAGGCTCCTGGCTTTGGCCTGGACCAGCGCCAGCCACTGTGGCCATTTGGGGAGTGAATCAGGGGATGGAAGATTCTCTCTCTCTGTAAATCTGCCTTTCAGATAAATAAATAAATAAATAAATCCTTTAGAAAGGTGCCCCCTTTCCAAAATAATTTTCTCTCTCAGTTCTGCCTTATTGTTCTTTGTAGCATTTACATTACCACCTGTTAACCCCGGACTTGCTCTTGTCTGTTTCCCCTGCTAGATGGTCATGTGTGCAGAGCAGGGCCTTTCTCCGTTTATGGCCAGGCTCCCCATGCCTGGTAGGTGTCCCCTCTGGTCATGGGAAGCATGAGTGGCTGCTGGGCCTGCCGCTCACCAGTTCCACGGGCAAGTTGCCCACCTCAGAGCTCGTTCTGTGAACAGGTGCTGCTTGTTCTAGGAGCTCTGTGAGGAGTCACCCATTCAAGCCACAGCAGCCCTGTGGGGAGTCACTACTATTATCCTCCACTCATGGCAGGTGAGGAAAATGGAGCCAGAGAGGCCAGGTGACCTGCTTAAGGGAGGTGGCAGCGCTAGGTTGGCATGGGTGGGGAGGAGTGGCTGCCCCAGAACTGAGTTAATTGCTGGTCTGCGGTGGCCCCTACTTCTGCTGCATCACTGTCCTCTGTTCTCTGCCCCCCACTCCTTGCCCATAAAACAGAGCTAATCACAGCTCTTCCTCCTCTCCTGCATCCAGAGCCCGCTCCCCTCCCCAACAGGGGCTGAGTCTGCGAGTGGGTGACAGCCCAGGCACAGCGGGTGCTGGGTGCCAAGCACAAGGTCAGGGTATCATTAGCAGCCTAGCTGCCTCCGTGGCACCAGGACCCCCCCCCAACTACTGGCCTGGGAGTCAGAATTTCCTCCCCACCCTCCCACCCCGCCCCACAGTCTTCTGGGTCTTGGGTTCTCTTTCTGTGGAATGGGGAGGGGTCCCTCAGGCTTAGGGAAGAGGGAGAGAAGAGAGGAGAGGCGTGACGTGAAGGGTTTCCCACTTCTGGTCGTGTGGTGGTCTCTGTCTGCGCCAGTTAAAAACAACCACAAATGCTGGGCAGCACTCAAAACCCCTTTCTTGGTGACCCCAAGAAAGTGTAGTAGGTTACGCCACCACCTGCAGCGCTGGCATCCATATGAGCACTGGTTCCAGTTCTGGCTGCTCCGCTTCCCTTCCAGCTCCCTGCTAATGCACCTGGGAGAGAAGCGGAAGATGGCCCAGATACTCCGGCCCCTGCAATGCACGGGGAAGACCGGAAGAAGCTCCTGGCTCTTGGCTTCGACCTGGCCCAGCCCCAATTGTTGTGGCCATCTGGGGAGTGAACCAGCAGGTGGAAGACCTCTTTCTCTTTCTGTCTTTCTCCCTTTCTCTGTCTCTCCCTTTCAAATAAATAATAAAATAAATCTTGAAAAGAGAGGCTTTTCAAAGCACCAAAGAGCTGCCAGTGGTAGAGGTGAGTAGGTCAGAAGCTGAGCGGGAGCGGAGTCTGGGAGGGGAGCCCCGTGCCCGCAGGGTGTTGGCCAAGCCAAGCTCAACCTCAGCGTCGGCTTTGATGGTGTGAAGAGTGAGGAAGACAGAAACGGAAGCCCAGTGCTTCCCTGAGCAGGGCACTAGAGTGGGGGACACCCCCGCACCTTGTGATGCTGGGCCCCCCAAGCCAGAGGAGACTGCCCCACCCCACAAACAGCCAAGACAGTTCCCTTGGTGCTGAACAGAGCGGGGCGGGGGGGAAGAAAAACCCAAACATTTTCCAAGGAACGCCGGCTCTCACTCGAGTCTGTAGCCCACAGTCCCTGACATCACTTGGAGCACGGGGTGGGAAAACCCACCCTGCTGGGCACCGCTCCCCCCACAGCACGTGCCCCAGGGAAGCAAGCAGCTCACAGCCCAGAGCCACGGAGCACCCGAGTGACTTGGCAGTAAGACTCGGAGGGTGCCCCATGAGCCTCAGATGCTCTCCAAGGTCCCTCCACCCCGACCCCGCACGGGGACCCTCAGGGGTGCAGCCTAAGTGAGGCTGAAGTGCGTCCCCCGACCGAGTCTCCTGGGGGCCTCTCAGAGTAAAGAGCTGGGCACAGGGATAGGGTAGCTTAGCCCAGCGGGAGGCGGGGTGGGGGGGGATGCCTGGGGAGTGGTGTCTGAGGCCCAGCCTTGCCTTTGATGTGTGCGTGGGTAGGTGGGTGGGGGGTGGGGGGGCTGCTGAGGGAAGGAGGCAGACAGCCCCGGGGCACCCTCAGCAGTGACCTACTTGGGTCCCCATAATTGCTGCCCTCCTGCCTTGGGAGGCTACATATAGGGATGGCCTGGTGCTGGGCTCCCACAGCTGGACGCCGACACCAGCGGTGAGTGCCAGCTGCTCGGCTCCTGCCCTGGGTTGGGGTCCCCGTCCCAGCAGGGCCTGGCAGGGTCAGGGACATCAGGAGTGGTGGCCTTGGGGTTCTCGGGTTCTCTCGTGCAGGGGAAGCCTATCCGGGAGCTCAGGCTAGGGGGAGTGAAGCGCTGAGGTCTGGTCCCCAGGTGGGGACAGTGGCTGGAAGTTCTCGGGCTGCCTTTGTTGGCCCCTCCTCCTCGCCTCCCTCCGTACTTCATTCTTGGGGACAGGTTGAGACAGGCCAGGGCGGCAGGGAAGAGAGGATTCCCACCCGTCTCCAGCCTGGACAGAGGTGGCGCCAGGCAGGTCCGTAGGAGCACCTTCAGGGATAGAACCCTCTCCTGTCTGGGAACACAAATGCCTTGCTCCCGGGCTGTCCCTAAGACTTAGATAGGCCCCAGGCAGTGCTTTGTCACCCTGCCCCCTCCCCGACCCCACCCCACCGCCATTGGCTCCCTGCAGCGGTCCCAGTGGAGGGGAGGCGCCAGGGAGCCCTGTGGCAGGCCTCCCTCCCTGGGGGTGGGGGGTGAGGGGGCAGGAGTGAGTCACTGGGCTCACATGGAAATTCTTGCTTTCCGGGCTGCCTGCCGAGGGTTTCCCCATGCCAGAGCTGTGTCCCAGAAGAGCATGGAAGGGGGCGGTGGGATTTAGGGGAGGCGGGAGACTCTGGGAAGGGCTCCCCCCGCTGACAAATAGGGCTCAGGAGGAGGGCGTCAGCCTGGGGCAGGGCCCTGGTGGTTAACCCCTGAGTCCGCTCACTCTCAGGACTCCACAGGGCCTGGGCCCAGAGCAGGCCTGTGAGGGGGTGAACTGGATAAGGCCCTGGGGACTCAGAGAGGGTGAAAGGCCCATGCAGGGCTGCACAGCTAGCGAGGTGCAGAGCGGATCCCAGTGTTCCTTTGGCTGCAACATCCTTGGGTTGAGGGCAGCAGGCATGGTGAGACGGAGACACTCCTCTGACACCTGGGCTCCGCTCATGCACAGCTTCTCCCAGGGCCTGAGGGTGAGGAAGCGCTGAGCAGGGATCCCCGGCCTTCCTCCAGCACCCCCCTCCTCCATACAAGTCCCTGCAGGAAGGGACAACGGGATCCTGGAGGGAAGGAGGTTCCTAGGGCCTCCTTTCTAGGCTGCAGACGGCGAGACTGAGCCTCTGTGGGTGTGGGGCGTGGGCTAAGGTAGGGCAGAGTCAGCTGCTTGTTTGGGGGACACCTCTGGGGCCTGAAGCCAGGCTAAGACGGGTCTGGGAAAAGCCCCTTGGAAAACATCAAGGGCACGGGTGGGCAGGGGGCTGGCCGGGGCCTCTGTGGGTCACACCCTCATCTGTGGCAGGGAGGATGGCCAGGCCCCTGGAGCAAGCAGTAGCTGCCATCGTGTGCACCTTCCAGGAGTACGCAGGGCGCTGCGGGGACAAATACAAGCTCTGCCAGTCGGAGCTCAAGGAGCTGCTGCAGAAGGAGCTGCCCACCTGGACCCCGGTGAGCACCTGGGCGCTGGGCCTTCCCCTTCCTGCGGGGAGACACTGCTGGGCCTCTACAGAGAGACCTGGGACAGCAAGAGGGGCCAAGGCTCGTGTGCAGTGGTGGGGGTGGGGGGCAGCAGGAACACAGTTCTCATCACACCTGCTGCCTGGCAGACCTGCGGGGAGGCTTGAGGGAGAGCCCCGGGAAGAATGCCCAGCACACAGTAGGCCCTCAGCGGCACATAGTAGGTGTTCAACATATGATCTGGGGTGGGGGAGTTGGAAGGAGTCTTGAAATGGGTGCCTTGTCAGGACAGGAAGGCTGGGGGCTGGGCTGGGCTGGGCTGGGCTGGGGCCACTCAGGAGCAGAGGGAGGGCCAGGGGGCGAGGCTGTCCTGCCTGTTTCACCCTGCCTCTCCCCCCACCTCCCTGCACAGACTGAGTTTCGGGAGTGTGACTACAACAAATTCATGAGCGTCCTGGACACCAACAAGGACTGCGAGGTGGACTTCGCGGAGTACGTGCGCTCGCTGGCCTGCCTCTGTCTCTACTGCCACGAGTACTTCAAGGACTGCCCTCCCCCAGAGCCCCCCTGCTCCCAGTAGCCTGTGCTGTAGTTGGGGGGGCGCCCCGGCAGGGCAGGATCCGCCCCAGGCTGTGCCATCTCTGCCCCCGGGTGGTCCTGGCTGTGCCTCCCACACCCCCTTCCCTTGGCCCTGTGTCCCCTGCAATGTGGAATCGTGCAGATCAGCCCTGCTGGAGGACCAGGGTGCCCAGCCAGTGAGGCAGCTCCCGCTCCCTGTCTGTGCAGTGGACGGAGGAGGCGGGGATGTGCCGTGGGCCCTGGAGGCCCGGCACGGTGCGTGCCAGCAAGACCAGGACGGGATGGGCCTTTCCGCTCCTAATAAAGAACAGGTGTCCGTGTGGCGTGGTTTGGTTCTTCTGAGAGGCACGGGGCCTTGAGACACAGCCCTGTTGACAGCTTTGCTCTCCTCTGGTCTTTTCCACTGGGGAGCAAGGCTGAGGGCAGCAGCCAGAGCTCCCATGGGCCCTGGGAGCAGTTTCAGAGCCTGCAGAGATGCAATGGTTACAGTCAGCACAGGAACTCCCGTTCTGTCCGTCTGTCTCTCAGTCTTTGGAGGGGGGTGCTGTCAAGGAGGGCAAGGGGGCAGCCCGAGGTCCCAGGGGTGAGGGAGCTGCAGCTCGGGCCTCGTGACCGGATGCGCTGAGGAGGAGGGTGGGGTGGGGCGCTTGTTCCCTGCCCCGGGCTGTGGCAGCCCAGAGAGCAGCACTAATGGGATTAGGGTGTCTCAGGGGTTTGCTGCCAGCTGGGGTGGGGTCCTGTACTGGAGGCAGAAGGGGAGGGGGATAGCTTGAAGCGAGCCCCATCCCTGAAGCCACAACCCGCTGAGGCCCTTAAGCCCCCTCTGCTGCCCCTCACTCACCCCTGGACCCCCTGTGCCCCACCCTGAGGGGTCATCCCTGAACCTGACTCCCCCGTGTTGTGCCATGTCACCTCTATCTCTGCACCCCAAACTGGAATCTTCATCCCTGACGCCCCCCTCAGCCCCACACACCCCCTCCTGCCTACTCTGTGAGTCACAAGCCATGCTGAGCCCCACACTGCACTCCCACCCCCACTCCACCAGGACCTCGCCCCTTGATGTACCTGGGCCATCTCACACCTGCCACCAGCCACCTGCCACCCCTGCCTCTCCTTTTCTCATGGCCGCTGGGACTACTTCCTCTGCAGCCCCCAGCCCCAGGCACTGCCCTCCCTCCCCGGCTCCCTGAAACTCTTGCTGGGCTGTGTGCACTGGGTGGTGCCTGCTCCATCAGCTCCCTGCTGGTGCCCACTGGGGCTGGCCCACTGCCCATGGGGGCCTGGCCGGGTCAGGATGCCCGGCTGCCGGCTGAGGCCATGGAGGGGCTGCCCGACTCACCACATCAGCCCACAGCAGGAGGGCAGTGTGCGCTCCCCCATCCCCTTGCCAGGGGCAGGGCCTGGCTGGGGTATAAATAGTCAGACCGCTGGGCTCTCCCCGCTCTTCCTCTCGCCCCAGCCCTCCTCCTCTGTGCTTCCTCTCTCGGCTTGGTGAGTTCTGTGGGCCTGACTGGCACGCGAGGGTGTCACGGGCTGAGGCTGGGTGGGGGAAGGACAGCCTGGTGGGGGCCAGATGTGCTGAATGGACCCAGATGCACAGGCTCTGGGGTGCATGGAAGAGAGAGAAAAGGCAAGAAGAAAAGTGTGCAGCAGCTGGGTTTGAGCGCCCCCTCCCCGCCCCAGCCCTTCTGAGAAACTGGGGCTTGTGCAGTGTGTGCCTGAGCTGGGGATGTGCACCCTGCTGCGGGGTTGCTGGGCTGCACAAGTGTGCACCCTCGGGTGCAGGAAGAAAGCAAAGGCAACCGAGGGCTTCCTCTGCTCCCGCTCTGTGAGCCCCTGCTCTGCACCCGGCAGCTCAGCCCGGCAGAGCCCTGGCCTCCCACCCAGCCCTGGCACCCCTGCCTCCGCCACCTCACCGGCCCCTCCCAACGACGGGCTGGGTGCCAGGCTGCCGGTTTTTTCCGCTGCAGGCCCCCATGCAGGCCTCCAGCTGCCGCGCCCAGCGCTGGGAGGGAGAAGAATGGGCTGGGGCGGCCGTTGTGGCTGAGCTGTGGGAGTGGACGGGTGAGGGAGGGGTGGAAGAACGCTGTTGTTGGGATGAGGCCTGCAGCCACCTCCGGAGCTTGCTGCCTGGCTCCCTGGAGCCCGTGCCACGAACCCCACAAAAGTCCACGGTCCCAAGTATGCATCCCCCCCCGCCCCCTGCACCCCTCCCCACCAAGAGCTGTGCCCGCCTCTCTGGGTGTCCCGAGGGCCAGAGAAGTGTCATCAAGGGCCTCTTGAGGGATGGGAGTGCAGGCGGGCATTCGGAACACATGGCTGGGGAGCAGGGGAGGATAAGGGTGCCCGTGCCTCCCGCCCTCAGATCCTGACCGCTGCCATGGCGTGCCCCCTGGAGAAAGCCCTGGACGTGATGGTGGCCACCTTCCACAAGTACTCGGGGAAAGAGGGTGACAAGTTCAAGCTCAACAAGTCGGAGCTAAAGGAGCTGCTGACCCGGGAGCTGCCCAGCTTCTTGGGGGTGAGTGGGTCCCCTGGGAGCAAGCACCCTCCCCCATCCCCAGCCCCCAACCCCCTGCAGGGGAGGCGCAGGCTCTATGAGGCTGCAGGCTTTTTGTGGAATATCAGCTAAAGCTGGTGTTTCTGACTGTGTGGGGAAACTGAGGAGCAGGGAGCCTGCATGGGGTGCAAACACGGCCCCAGCAGAAAGAAGGCTGAGAGAGAACAGGGAGGTTAGGGGCCAGACCCTCTGCCAGGTGCTCTGTACATCTTAAGTGAAAGGGAAAAAAACAAAAACAAAAAACTCAGAGTTAAGTATTTCCCAAGGTAGTGCATGTACAAAACTGGTCTGGACTAAGACCGCCGACTGCCCATTCTTCACTCCAACAGTGAAGGGCTGGAGTTTCCATTTGGCTCATAGATGTGCAGACACAGGTATAGAGACTCAACACACCTAAAATGTCCCCCCCAACAACAGCGTCTACACCTGCATCAAGCAGTCCACCATTTACAAGAGAGTATTGCAAAAAGTTCATGGAAAGTGGCATGAAAAAGCAAGTTTATTTTGGTGCAAAATTTTGAAATCTATAGTTTTAAAAATAATACTCATTTTTCATGAACCCTTTGGAGAGTCTTGGGAAGCATGGGTTTCAAACATTTTTGTACCAAAAGGAACTTATTTTTAAATTATATTTCCGGGGCTGGGCATGGTGGTACAGTAGGTTAAACTTCCGCCTGCAATGCTGGCATTCCATATGGGCCCCAGTTCAAGTCCCTGGTGCTTTGCTTCCAACCCAGCTCCCTGTTAATGTGCCGGGAAAGTGGCAGAAGTTGGCCCAGGTACTTGGTCCCTTGTCACCCACATGAAAGACCCAGATGGAGTTCCAGGCTCCTGACTGTGGCCTGTCCCAGCCTTGGCAGTTGAAGCCATCTGGGGAGTAAGCCGGCACATGGAAGAGCTCTCTCTGTCTCTCCCTCTATAACTATGCCTTTCAAATAAAAAAAAAAAAATTCTGTTTCCACAAACTTTCTGCAGTAGCTGGCATATGCTGTCATGATCATTACCTCACTGGATCATGAGGACAACCTCTAGGGAAGGTGCGTGGTCACTTCGTTTTGCACCTGCACCAGGTCCTCAGACGTCCCCATCCAAGGAGTACTCCCGTTGGCGCTGGTGTGGCCCTGAGGGTTGGGGTCCGAGGCTGGGCCCCCCACAGGAGAGCTGCAGGTGCCCAGCTGGTCTAGCCCTGCTCTACCCCCGTGGCTTCTGCTTTCTCCCTCCAGAAAAGGACGGACGAAGCCGCGTTCCAGAAGCTGATGAGCAACTTGGACAGCAACAAGGACAACGAGGTGGACTTCCAGGAGTACTGCGTCTTCCTGTCCTGCATCGCCATGATGTGCAATGAGTTCTTCGAAGGTTTCCCTGATAAGCAGCCCCGGAAGAAGTGAAGGCTCCTCAGATGCCGCTGGGGGGCCCGCCTGCTGGGGTCTTCCCTGTCTGCAGTGGGCACAGCACCTTAGTCCCGCCCCTTGAGACATGTGCACCACGCTGAGCAAATTCAATAAAGAGTCTTAACACCTGTGAGGCTCTCAGTCTGTGACTCTGGGGGCGTGTGGGGTTGGGGGCTGAGGGATGTGTGTGTGGTGTGGGGGGGTAGGGCTGGGGGTGCTGGGACTTGAGCTGCTGGGTTACAGATCCCAGGAGTGAAGGCTGGGAGGGATCAGGAGTGACTGAGGGTGTGTGTGTGTGTGTGTGTGTGTGTGTGCAGGCATGCGTGTGACCCAGAGGACAGGGGTGGGGCCCAGGCAGGGAAGGAGACCACCAGGGCTTGGAGGGCGGGGCTGTGGCACTGAGCCAGCCCACTCACCCTTTCCAGCTCCCACCAGCCATGCCTCTGGCTGATCCCTGAACTGAGGTTACTACGATGGGAAGGTCACATCTGTTCCTAGTTGGGGTCTGGAGAGAAGAGAACGGAGCTGAGTCAGGCGGAGGGAGTAGCCAAGCCAGAGCAGCAGGGGGAGGGGGCTAGCGCTCAGCCCCGACATTTGCAGCCCACGCCTGTCCTGCCTCCCCTTCTAGCTCATTGGCTTCACACCACAGGGGCGGGTTCATCCTGGCCTGTCCCGGGTCGGCCCGGATCAGCGGGGGCAGGATGCAGGGGCAGCGCGCAGCCTCCAGCGCCCGGGTTGTCGCTGGGGCTCTCCGACCCGCGATCCCTGCCCCCAGGCCCCTGGAGCGGGAAACGAGGAGTGGGGGTGGGGCTGGGGCAAAGACAAAAGGCCGGACTTGAGAAGAGGGGACCCAATGCTGCCTCGGCTTAGAGTCTGGGGCTGACTGAGGCTGTACCTGAAGCGAGTGGGTGTCAGGCCCCGAGGCCCGGGGGTTTGGTCCCCCTTTCCTCTCATCCCACTGAGCTTTCCCCTCAAGTTTCAGGGGAGGGGGCGGTGACTCATATGTTTCCCCCACCCCAGTGGGACTGCAGCGACCTGGGTAGGACCTTGGCTCTCCTCCTCCCAGCCTGGCCACCGCCCGCCTCCGCGCGGTCCTCCCGGGGCAGCCTCCCTCGCGGCTCTCTCTTCGGAAACTCCTGCTGCCTAGCGACCGACCTCGCCAGCGGGAGCGCCGGGGCTTCAGCCATAGTGGGCACTCACCCTCAGAGCAACACCTGAGTGTCCCCCAGGATACGACCCCACCCCATCCATGACTGCGCCCTGAACCCAAGCCCCAGCTCCATCCCATCCTGGGGTCCCCGCGTGTCTACCTCCCCTCCTTAGTTCCTAGTTCTCAGCCGTCAGTGTCAAGACTCCAGCAAGTCCCCATGAGACAACCATTTATTTAAAGCTTTGTAAAAACCACACTGGCTGATGGATGACCTTGCCCTTGACAAGGAAATATCTTCCTCCGGGGATCCCCGCCTCCAGGTGGTCTTCTCTGCTCTTGAGGTGGGTGGGAAGGTCTCCAAGAGGAGAGTGGCCGGGGGACATGGGGCACATCCGGTGTGTGGCTCTAGGCTTCCTGTGGTTCAGTCAGACTGTGAATTCTGCTTTTTGGTTGAGAGTGGAGTGTGAGCAGGTGAACTCAGTGTGCCCCACACCCCTGTTTGTAAACAAGGAAAGGGAAATTGGCAGAGGGGTTTCTCCTGGCCCATCCCTGGAGATTCTGACCAGGGCCTCCAGATGTCCCTGACCCCTTCTCATTGGCCCTTTCTATCCCCTGGGCTCCTGGGGGCTGGGAACAAGGAATAAAGCGAGAGCAGGGGGTGGGAGGCTGCATCTGCTTTGAGCGGAGTTTCTGGGCTGGTGCTCTCCTGGGTGGGCCCTTCCTTCTCTCTCCCTGCCCAGCTCTGCTGGCCGCGCCGAGTGACTAGCCGGTGGGTGACAAGCCGTGGTGACCTCTGCAAGGAAGGCCTGGCCCCTGGGGTGCTCAGGGAGGACAGGGAAGTCTCTGGAACGGCATCTCCTGGGAAAATGGCTCCAAGGTGGAGCTGGGGTCGGACCCAGCCAGGATGCTCCTGCAGGCTCCTCGAGGCCCTCACCCTTCCACGGTGGTCCTGGCTGGGTCTCCTCGAGGTGGGAGAAGCTGAGGTTTCTGGGTGATGGGAGATGAACAGCAGACGTAGTTCAAGAATGGCAGGGTGGGATTTGGGCTGGAGGGGAGGGCTGGAGACTTCTTCCCCCCAGCTGAGGACTCTCTGTGGGACTCACCTGTGGCTGAAGTCCGGGTGTTGCCGTCTTCCTCCCTGGGGGAGGGAAGTGGTTTTCAAGCCTGAGTCACGCGGGCTCCAGCAGCCTGCTCCCCCTGTGGAGGTGGCTGTCCTGATGGCTCGGGGTCTCAGGGTGATCCGTCCCCAGCCCCTGGCCAGTCTGCAGGTGTGCAGTTCTCAGCCTAGCCAGGCAAATCCAATCGCCTCCCTCTGCTTCCTCTTGGGGATCTTATCTCCCCGCTGCAGCCCCAGCCTCTGGCCCTGGACTCTCTCTTTGCCCTGTCCCCCACTTTTACAACAGGCACTCCTTGAGATCAGGAGATTCATGCGCCCGGGCCAAGGAGGGTGACTAAGGTGGGAGCTGCCTCTGGTGAACCAGTGCCCAGGCTGGAGGGGCACTGTTCTTTGATGTTTTGGCATCGCCTTGTCCCCCCTCCGTCCCCCTGTTAACAAATCCTAAGCAGGAGAGGCTGCTGTCTCCTTTGGGGGCTGGCTGGCCTCACAGCACAGGTCCTCTGCTGGGTGGGTTGCGGTCTTGTCCTGGGTTCCAGCCCCTGGACCTTTGAGCGAGGGGCCTTGGAGGTGGGCGGTGCTGGCAGCGGGGAGCTCCGGCCCCCCGAGGAACGTGATCCTCCCCTCTCTCAGCTCTAGAGCTGCATCGTGATGGAGACCCCTCTGGAAAAGGCCCTGACCACGATGGTCACCACTTTCCACAAGTATTCGGGGAGAGAGGGCAGCAAACTGACCCTGAGCAGGAAGGAACTGAAGGAGCTGATCAAGGAGGAGCTGCATCTTGGGGAGGTAGGAGACGCTTCCCTCACCCCCACCCCAATGCCCTCACAACAGAAGGACGAGTGTGGCCATCTTGGGCCAAGAGAGCCCTAGACCCCGTGCTGGGGGCCCGGCCAAGGTTTCCCTGGGAAGGAGGAGGCTGAGCCTGGGGGTGGATCTGAGACTCTGTGAGGGTTAGAGCCTTCCGTGGCAGGGCCAGGCTCTTGCAGTAGTGGCAGAACCCATGTGAGGGATCTCAGGGGACCAAGGGGTCCAGGGCTCTGCTGTGCACCGCTCAGGGGCAGGGACCCCTCCTGCTTCTTGTCCCCGTGCCCGCACAGCCAGGGCTCTCAGACTGCCCTGGCGCACGAACCACAAGGTTAATCTGTGAACGTGGGTGGGAAGGGGGCAGAACCGACAGGTGGAGATGGGGAGAGGGAACTGACTGACAGAAAGCCCAGGAAGGAAGGCATTCTGTCCTTTCACAGGTGAGCAAAGGGACTTGTGCAGTGACACCCAGCCGCTGAGAGGCTATGCTGGACCCCAGGCCAGGCCCGGGTCTCACCCAGACTTTGCCCTTGGACAGTCAGCTCGAGGGCCGTGGCCATCACCATGAACCCAGGCGGGCCTCCCAGGCAGAGGGTGAAGCAGGGGAGGGTGTCCCCAGGCCTGCTCTCTGCCCTTCCTGCCGACGAATGCATCCTGGAGTTAATGAGGCCAGAGGGAGGGGCTGTGGCTCCAGCAGGGGTTAATTACACTGGGACACAAGCCCAGGGGAAGTCTTGCCTATAATAGGAGCCCAGAATGGGGACCAGGATCACGTCACAGAGAGGCAGTTTCCATCTCCTAGGTCCCAGCATCCGTCTCCTCTGAAAACCTGCACCTGAGGGCGGGATCTGCGTGTCTGAGTTTCCCTCCTGTTCTGCCCCAAGGGCCCTGCCTGTCTCCTGCTGGTAGAGCCAGGCCAGGAGGGCATGGGGGGAGCTGGATTAGGGCCAGGCACCAGGCTGGGCCTCGGCTCTCCTGGTAGGGGAGCCATGCACACTGGCTTCTCGCAGCCCACGCCCCCTTCTCAGGGGAGATAAATGGCCTGAATCCTTTCCGGCTGGCCCTGCAGAGTAAATCAGAGACTCAGATGAAGTGCAGTGCCACACGTTATTATTTTCTTTTTGTTTCTTAATTTGAGAGGTAGAGAGACACAGAGAGCTCCCATCCTCCATGCACTCCCCAGATGCCCAGCAGCAGCAGGGGGCTCAGTGCAGGGGGGACCCAGCCGCCTGAGCCGTCCGTCACCTGCTGAGTCAGAGGGCCCGCATTAAGAGGAATCTGGAATTGGGAGCAGAGCTGGGAACTTGCACCCAAATGCTCGGATATGGGATGGGGTGTCCCAACCGACAGCCTGACCACCACGCCAAATGTCTGCCTCCCCAGCCAGCTTTGCTAGGTTCTGGTGTAACATCTGGGTCACTATTACTTAGGATGCGGGAAGGTGTTGGGGGGAAAGGGAGGCGAGTCTCATTTTCCCGTGTAAGTTACTAGTGCCAGGCTCTGCTAGGTGTGGGCTGGGTCCAGACTTACATGGTGGTGGCACAGAGCTCGACATCACCCTCAGGCTGCTGGGGAGGGGTGGGGGGGCACTGGTGGGGCAGGGCCCGCAGGTGAGCTGTTCCTGCCCCTGGGCCCTTGCAGAAGATGAAGGAGAACAGCATCGACCACCTGATGAGGAGCCTGGACAAGAACAGCGACCAGGAGATCGATTTCAAGGAGTACTCGGTGTTCCTGAGCACGCTGTGCATGGCCTACAATGACTTCTTCCTGGAGGACAGCAAGTGACCCGGGGCTCCCCTCTACCCGCACCGTTGGCTCCTGCCCCCTGACAGGCCTCCTTGGCCCCTTACTGTGCACTTCCTCCCACACAGGAAATAAAGATTTTCCCTGCCAGGTGTTTTGAAGGCGTCTTGTGCACCTTGGTGGGAGAGGGAGGTCCTGAGACAGCCCGTGGGTGTGAGGGACCTGGGGTCCCACCCCACTTCCTGTCCTCCAGTGCTGATGTCCTGGAGCTTTGTGCTGACTCCCCTGCTTCGTGGGAGATGGGGGAGTTGGGCCAGGCGTCTGCCCAGATGCATGACGAGCTAAGGGGAAGGGCCCCGGGAGCCAGGGTGCAGGGTTGTGGATGTGGCTCCCAGTGGTGGTCTCACCCCGGGCAGTGTGGCCTCCAGGCCAGCCCTTCGCTGCCCTCCATGTCCCCCCAGCACCTCCACTCCGCAAATTGGTTTTGGGGGCCCCCGCTTTTTTCTCTTCCCTCTCCCTGTCAAAATCTTCTCTCTGGAGGTAATCTGGAAACTTTCCACTGGAGGGTGAATAACTAATGATGCTTCCTGGGCTTGGCTCCCGCGTGTGGGCACAGTAACTGGCAGAGGCTCCAGCGCCATTCCTGGCAGTGGGGGGAAGGGATTCGCTGTTGGTGGGGGAAAGGGGAATGGGTGTTTTAAACATTGCATCTGCAGATCACCAGCCGCTCAGCCTTCTTCCTCCAGGCGGGGCCGGAGCTGTACACATCTGGGGGGGGGGGCACCTGCATGCTGGAGATTCCCCACCTTCGACCCTCCCCGCCGGGGACCCTGCCTCCGGGGACACCTTCATGCTTTGGTGCTTAGGTGGCTAAGGAAGATGCAGGACTGACCAGGGGCTTCTTCCTCTTCCTCCTCTCCCCTCCCCCACGCCGTGTCACGTGTCACGAAAAGCACGTCGAGCTACAAAAATTAGGGAAACGCCCCCATCACCGCTTGCAGTGGTCCCCACTAGGCCCCCCATACTTCCCCAACGTATCCGGCTATCGGTCCCAACTCGGAGCAGGAGGCGGGAGGAGCCGTGGTGGGGGGGCGGGCGGGGGCGGGTTGTGCAAGTCCGGGCGCAGGGTGGGGCTCGGGGCGGGCCGTGGGCCGTGCGGTGGGTCCCGCCCCGCCGGCCTCCCCGACGCCAGCCGCTATAAGGCCGCCCGGCCGCGGCCCAGCCCAGGTCCTGACCGTTCCCTCCGCGCCGCGCAGCCTGCAGTACCGTGAGTCCTCCCTCCCCTGGGCGGCCCCGGGACCTTTTCCCTGCCCCGGCCCGCGGGCGGTAGGCGTTTACGTCCGTACCCGGCGCGTCTGTCTGTGGAGCTCCCGGGCAGGAGCGTCTGGACCACGCCAGCCAGGCCCCGGGCTAAGGCATCCCCTGGCTCCCTGTAGAGTGCTCTCGGGGCGCGGGAGGGTGTGTCCCGGGCGTGTCACTACCGCGGTGTGTGGCCTGGCCGGCTGTGCCAGAGGCCGTGTGTGCTGCCGCCCTCCATCCTAGCCCAGCCACACTCTGCGGCCTCCCCTGGATGCCCTGGAGGGTAATTCACAATTCCTCACCTGGGGGCACCTGCTCCCTGGTCCAGGTCGGCCTCCCCTCACCCCCTTCCCCTAATGCTACCCCAAGTGGCCAAGGCTGGGTGTTGGGGCAGGCAGCGTGGGGAGTGCAGAGTCTGCCGCCCTGGCACTGACCAGCCCCTCTGCTGCCAGTCCCAGCCCAGCTGAAACCATGGCAAGCCCCCTGGACCAGGCCATTGGCCTCCTGATCGGCATCTTCCACAAGTACTCTGGCAAGGAGGGTGACAAGCACACCCTGAGCAAGAAGGAACTGAAGGAACTAATCCAAAAGGAGCTCACCATCGGCTCGGTGAGTAGCTGTCCCCAGGCCCCGCCCATTGGCACCTGGTAGGAACAGGGTTCCGAAGGTGTGTCAGGTGCACCTGACTCCCACATAGCCACATCCCAGGGTCCTGGTCCATATGCTTTACTGAGCCTTGGTCCCACTCTCCTGCGGGGGCGGGGCAGGGGGTGCTCTCAGCCTGGTATTCACGCCACTGAGTGAGGAGCCTAGGAGTCGGGTGGATGCTGTCCGTGGTGATAAGTGGGCAGGGAACCCTTGAGGGCCGCCCGGGAAGGTAGCGAGTGGGGGTCCTCTTCACCACTGAGCAGCGTGTCCCCTCTGCCTCCTTAGAAGCTGCAGGATGCTGAGATTGTCAAGCTGATGGACGACCTGGACCGCAATAAGGACCAGGAGGTGAACTTCCAGGAATACATCACCTTCCTGGGGGCCTTGGCCATGATCTACAATGAAGCTCTCAAGGGCTGAAGACAGACTGGGGAAGGTGGAGGCACCCCTCAGGGGCCTGTCTGGGTCACACCCAGTGTGGGTGATTGTAAGATAAATATATATTTTTTTTGTTAACCTACCCTGTGTCCTGGCTTCCCAGTGATTTCTGACCCCTCCTGGGCCTGGTGATGCACCAGCTGGCAGAAGCACTTGTGCACGGTCAGCCTCTGAGAGTGACTCCTGCACCCGCCAGGCCCGAAGAGCCCCCCACCCCCACCCAAGGCTGCTGCTCGCTCGTAGGGGGCCTTTGGGCAAAGCCATCTTCAGGAAAGGCTCTGGGATGAGCTTGGAGGAGAGGGAGCCAGGGCTGGGCTGGGCTGTGATGGCTGAGGTCCTCCCAAGTGGGACAGAGAGCCTCTCGGGCTCCCGGAAGTGCTCCCAGTACCAGGAGAGAGGAGGGGCTGGCCGGGCCCTGGGTGGGGCCCATTCACTTTCTCTCCACCGAGAGCCTCCGCTGTCCGAGCCAGGCTTGACCTTTCCACGATCATGGAGGCCACAGTGTGACTGGGGTGACTGTGGCTGCCCGTGTCCCGGGTGCGGAGAGCTCTTAGTTGGGGGTGGTGGTCGGAGGAGCTGGCAGCACCATGGAAACGTGGATCAGAGGGTGCGCCCAAACGGGGCGGGGCGAAAAGAACAAACAAATAGGAATACAAAAAGTAACAAAACCCCAACAAAACCAAATAGGGCCGGTGGGGGTCGCTGGGGCTGCGCCGAACGCAGCTTCCAGGCCTTCAGTCAATATTGACCCAGCCGGTCCCTAGCAGAATGAATCACCCGGTTAGTTCTCGGGAGCCAAGCCCCGCCTCTGGCCCCTTCCAAGAAGGCGGAGGGCTACCCATCCGCGGTGCGCCGCCGCGTTCGCTTTGCCAGCTGGCGGGGTGCGGGAGGGGGCGAGCTCCGCCTCGCAGCGTGGCTCCCCTGCCGGTGCGGGCCCGTGCCAGCCGCTCCGGGGCTCCTTCTCTCCGACTCGCCGCCCCCAGTCCCCGGGGCCCAACGGGGTGGAATTAAGTTGTCTTCTTTTCCCATTGGGTGTGGCCTGGCAAACAGCGGGCAGCCACACCTTCCGGAGCCTCGGCCCCTCTGGGTGCCGCTCCTGAGCTGCAGGGACTGGGAGTCACCCGGCTGGGCCTCGGGGTGCGACCCGGGACCCAGGCTCCCAGCTGCACCGCCGCGACCAGGCCTCAGCTTCCCTCTGGAAAAGTACCGCTCCGCCCGCCCGGTGCCTGCCGCTGCCCAGCGGCGCGCGGAGCCAGCGCCCTCGCGTGGGCAGAGCGCGGGATGCAGCCTCTGCTCGGGCGCCCAGGGGATGTCAGGGTCGGGGGGCATCTTGTGGCTCCCAGGAATCGACTTCATCTGAGACGCGCTTGCCAAGAGCAAGTCCAACAGGGGGAGGAAAGCTGAGCACCGCAGCCGTAGGCGAGGGCCCGGGAGCTGTTTCGGTGCGGGGGCCAGGCCCTAGCCTCGTTATTTCCTGGGGGCTCTGCCCAGAGCTGGGAGAAAAGAAAGGCGCACCGTCTCCCTGCTGAGTGCACAGGCTTTGCCTCTGTGTCTGCACAGAAGTGCGGGGGAAGCAGGAGCGTGGACGTCGAAGAATAAAGCAACGAAGAGCAAACAGCGAATCGTTTGTTTTCGGGGTACACTGTGTGTACAATGTGTGCGTTTGGAGGGGAGGGCAAGGAAGCAGACTTAACCATGGAATCCAAGGGTGCGGCCCTCAAGGCGTGGGGTGGCCAGGTGCACACCGGCTGTTTTATTGCTCTAATTGACTCAAGTCGGAACTGAACCTTCTGAGCGCGACCTGGGCTTGGAGGGGAGGGGGGTGACCAGCTGTGGTCTGTGAGGGTGCGCTGCGCCCCCTGCCCTCCCCTTCTGCATAGCTGAGGTTAACTCTGCAGTCTAGTTACCCGGATGCCCCAGAAGCTAAACAGCAGCCACACAGCTGGTTCTGTAAGCTGGGGCGGGCCCAGGTAACAGGAGCTTAGGACTGAGTCAGGGGCTATACCTCTGCTCTCTGCCAAGCAAACACCGCCGTTTTCATTTGTGCTGCGTTTTATTTTATTTATTATTTTTTATTTATTTGAAAGGCAGATAGAAGCCTGGGGCCCCTTCCAGGTCTCCCAGAGGGAGTGGCAGGAGCCCAAGCACTCAGGCCGTCTGCTGCCTTAGGCGGCTGGATCTGGAGCAGCGAAGCCGGGACTCACCCTGGTGCCCTGATACGGGACTGCTGGCGCTGCAGATGGCGGCTTAGGCCGCAGTGCCACGGCACCAGTCCGGCATCTTATTTTTATAAGACATATCTGATCCATTTTCTCTCGTCACAGGCAGAATTCCATGTAGTATGTACTACCAACCAGTGAGAAGGCTGAGTCACAGGGAAGTCAGAGCCTGCACCCAGGTGGACTGTCAGTTAAGAAGGAGCTGCGGGGGAGGGGGTGGTAGCCGCTGTGGCAGTGGGCTAAGACTCCGCCTTCACACCAGCATCCCATCTGGACTCTATTTGAGTCCTGGCTGCTCCACACGGGATCCAGCTCCCTGCTAATGGCCTGGGAAAGCAGAAGATGGCCCAAGTGCTTGGGCCTCTGCACCCCGGTGGGAGACCTGGAAGAAGCTCCTGGCTTTGGATCAGCCCAGCTCTGGCTGTTGCGGTCATTTGGGGAGTGAGCCAATGGATGGAAGACTTCTCTCTCTGTCTCTCCCTCTTTGTGTAACTCTGACTTTCAAATAAATAAAATAAATCTCAAGAAAAAGGAAAAA